TGAAATCAATTCAAGGTGCTGGTGTTGACCTACAAAACCCTAAACAACTTGGAGCCAGGAAATCTGAAAGGACTACCTCTTCCCATATAAGCCTGCCAGAAATTTGAGATCTGCAGAGGTGGCCATGTTGCATGTCCCAGAACTTTGTGAAGTTAAGTTAGTGGGTACATGTAACAAGGCCTTCTCTGTAGCAGTGGAACTGTGGAACTCCCTCCCTGAGGAAATTAGGCTGGCCCCATTTCCTTTAAGCTTCTGGTGGGCAACCAAAACAGTATTGTTCTGCATGGGACTCAATATTTGAAACTGCTGTTCTATTTTAGACTCTAAAATAGACTCTGGATTCTACTATTATTTTTAGACTCCTTTTAGGAGTTTTTAAAAAGTATTTTAATGTGTTTTTAAAATGTTATTTCTGCATTCTTTTCATTGTTGTTGCTTTTAAATTTGTTTATTGCCTCAGGAGTCCTTGTGGGCAGGAAGGCAATACAAAAATACTTTAAAGAATGAATGAATGAATGAATGAATGAATGAATGAAAATGCATATGTTGTTTGCACACATTCACCTAACATTCATACTTGCTAACAGTATGTCTGTATACATTTTGAAATGTATGCTCATTTCTATGCAAAATTTCATTTTATGTTTTACTGGATTTTTAAAGTATGATTACAAAACAAAAAAGCAGGGGGGAATAAAGAGGGGGGAAAGAATACATGGAGAAGGGAAATACATTGGATATGAACATGTGTACAAGTTGAGTATCTCTTATCCAAATGCTTGTGATGAGACGTGTTTGGGGTTTTGGATTTTTTTTTCCAGATTTTGGAATATTTGCATATATATAAGAAGATATATTGGAGATAGGACCCAAGTATACAACTTGTGTACAAATTATGCACAGAGCCTGAAGGTAATTTTATATAATATTTTGAATAATCTTGGCCACAAAACAAAGCTGGTATACATTGAACCACCAGGACACAAAGGTGTCACTATCTCAGCCACCCATGTGGACAATTTTAGATTTTGGAGTATTTTGGTTTTTGGAATTTTGGAGACTCTGCCTTTATAAGTATAAGCTGACCATATTTCCAAAAATACATTTGGTTGAAATTGATGTCCATAAAATATACATTCATGCATTGTTAAAGCAGTAGGATGTTCTAACCCTTGTCCTAACCCATCCAGAGGATGGTGGATTATTTTCTTTCTGACTTTGGAACATAAGTATTTTTGCAACAGAAAAAAAAAAAGAAATTTTAAAATGATGTGTTTGCCTTATCACCTGGTTAACCTATGGACATTCCCCCCCCCCCCCAACATGGTTTTCAAAGTGCTGAAATGTCAAATTGGAAACATGTCTGGCCTTCATCCACTTCTGGCTACTAAGGGTCACAGAAATCTGCAAAAATTCCAGTGGAGTGGATCTTGCACACATCCCTTGGCAGAGGTGTTGCTGTGCCTCAATCTCCTCGTTCTATTTTTAGATGGAGTTCAATAATGTCATCTTTTTTGCAAATTACAAAGTTCAAGGATAGTAGACTTTATGAAACTGACTACACAATTGATCTGGGGAAGAAAGGATGACATTTCTATAGTGAATTGCCCATATCAAAAGAATCCTCCAGGCTTTATCTGGTTTTCAAGTCAAGGTTGCCTATCTGGTGAAACAGTAGACAAGGTGTGCACACCTTTCCCTCAAAAAAAAAAAAACAAAAAAAAAGGGGGAACACATCATCAGAAGGGGAGAAAATAAAAAAGGAAACAGGACAACATATATTTTAACCCTGATAACGTATTTGCATGGACACAAATTTGGATTTACGGTGGGCCTTTGGTAGTCGCTGGGATTTGGTTCCAGCAACCCCCATGGATAACAAAATCCACAGGTGTTCAAGTGTTATTAAATACAATGGACAGTAGAATGGTGTCCCTTGTATGAAATGGCAAAATCAAGGTTTGCTTTTTGGAATTTATATATTTTTTTGAATATTTTCAAGCCATGGATACAGAGGGCCAACTGTACTACTTAGGGCTGCCAAGTCAGCAGCCCTGTATTCACTGAGATATCAGAGTCAAAACCTAAGGGAAGGAAGCAGGTCCTTATTATGTCACAGAGGCAAGGATCAAGAAAGGGTTGGGAGGCAGAGTCGAAGTGCTTCTAGGTCAGCTGATGATGGAAACCAGGGCAATCTGGGTAGATAATCCAAAATTTAGGTAAAACCTGGCTAGTCTAGTCATACAGTAGCCCAGAGTGTGTGTGGGGTACATTTTTCAAGGTTTGGGCAGGTAACAAAATGAGCCAGTGGCTTCAGCAGTTACAGCCATTCCTGTTAGAGCTTGCATCCAACGAGGCCTTCCCTATAGCATGCATGACACATGGAGAGTTTTTCCCAGTTATAAGCTACTGCTTATAGAAGACTCATCACTGGAGTTTTTGTTCCAAGTTTTTGAGTTGAGCCAGTGCCTTTACAAGATGAAAGCTCATGGTTCACAGTATTAGCACAACTATCTTATTCCAAATATCAGAAAGGATCCAAGTGAATGCATCCAGTATCTCTCTCCTCAATGGTCTCACCTTGCTCCTACTTTTGGATGCAACAGATGCCTTTGTGCTATGCCAGAGCCCTGTCATAAGCTAAGGATATCAGCCTTTGAAGATGCCTCACATACACAATGCAAGCCTTCTCCTCTCCAGTGCTACTCAACCCAAGATGGATGTCCCTTTATGGAGACCTGGAGAAACACAGCAATTCTCTGAGACTTCAACTAGTACTCTCACTATCATTTAGATAAGACTACAATACATCTCATTTAATTTAGATACGACTAAGGGCCTGAACAGACTGCTAGAAATAATCCAGCTTGAGGCCACTTTAATTGCTAGGGAATCATGGGAATTGTAGTTTTCTCTGAGACACTGAGCCTTCTCTATCAGAGAGCTCTAGTGCCACAATAAACTACAGTTCCCATGATTCCCTAGCACTGAGCCAGGGCAGTTAAAGTGGTCTCAAGCTGGATTATTTCTGGCAGTCTGTTCAGGCCCTAAGTGACTTGTATATCTGCTCCATCTGCTATGCAGGTGCTAACAGTTGAAGCCTCACTTTCTCAGATGTTTTTAAAATGTCCCAATTTCTCTCTCTTTCTCCCACTTTTGTCCTTCATCTTTAGCTAATGTCTATTGCTATAAACTGAGAACTACATCACACAAGGCTTGAAAAGTGGAATTAGAGCAGGACCTCATTCCCACTACGTTATAACCCAGTTTGCTAACCAGTTTGAAGTGGTTTAAATGACCCTGGAGTACCCACATGGCCAGAAGGAAGTGACCAGTCTGTATGAATGTCCCTCCAACAATACCTGAATTGAGAACAGCAACATCTTCACAAAATGCAGTGATTAACACTGTCATTTTTTTTCCTCCTGTATGATTTTTAACAACTTTGTCTGATGAAGAAGCCAGTGGAGTTTTGAAAGCTTGCCACATATATTTTGTGCATTTTGGTTGGCTGGTGAAGGTGTCACTGTTTTGTGGATTTTGGATCTTATTGTACTTTGCTTCTCCACTGTTGATACACATGTGATAAACATCTCCTGAAGAAGTTCTGATATATGAGAAACCACCTAGTGCAAATGATTGTGATTATGCTCCTTTCCCCTCTTTCCCTCACTTATTCCCAGGCTGTCCCCCCCCATTTTTTTTCTCTTTTTATTTTTACTTAATGGATTGCCAGGGTTGTGCAATTGCACTAAAATAAAAATTAATTTTAAAAAAATATAGATGTAAGGTGTGCTACGAAGAGCATATGATAGGGAGATGAAGCTATGGAGGCCAGCGTGTGGAAGACAGAGACCAGGTCCGAAGCAGCACCATGGCAATTTGGAAGAGCTGTGCAATAATGATTATCCCCAAACCATTATGTTTGTGTTTCCTAGACTAATGTAATTATTGCACCTTATGAGCCTGGAATGATAACGTCCTGAGTTCAAAATGTAAAAATTAGTTATTTTTCTCTGTTATTTCAGTAGGAGAGAAAAGAGAGGATAGAATCTTGTCCTATCTGGTAGGTTGTTTTTTATTTTGTTTTGTTTTGTCAGGCTTTCTTCAACTCAATACACAAATTCCAAGATGTCTCAGCTTAAAACGCTAGTTTTGTGTTTACATTTTCATTTATAACTTCTGTTCTCTTGTTGCCTTGACCCCACTCTGACTCTGCTAGTTGCTCAGCTACATGAGTCCCAGTTTTCATCTATGAAATGTTGGAAGGTACGCTTTATACCAGATAAGACTATTCATCTCTGTCTTTCCCATTTACCTAAGATCCTTTTCTAACTGGAGATGCCAAGGAATGCACCTGTGACATTTTGCATGAAAAGCATGTATTCTGCTTGTGTGGTATGCCCTTCTCTGCCAGATGCTACATTAGGGGTCCTTCCAGATGAAGGTTTTAGTGTGCAGTTGGCCTGCCTGGTTTACAGAAAGTTAAGAGGGAGGCAGTTTCCAAATGTCTACTTTCATTTGTAACTTTCCTAAGTGTCTCACTAATTCTGGTAAGAACTGTCATCTAAAACATCTAGTGGGACAAAGTTTCCACCCCTGCATAGATTGTGTAAAGTTTTCAAGCTCAGAAAGGATCACTGAAGTTACAAATCCTACTTAGTCTAGTATTCTGTTAATGCAAAGATCAAACAGATGCCTAAAGGAAGCCCACAAGCAGGTTATTTGTGCAACAACAGATATTCCTCCCCCATCATGCTCTCCAGCAACTAACAAAGAGAGAAAGGGATTCAACCAAAATAAAATGCAGTCTCTTCCAATAATTGCCTTATACAATTTGTTGTTGTTGTTGTGCCTTCAAGTTGTCACTGACTTCTGGTGACCCTAATGTAAACCTATCACAGGATTTTCTTGTCATGTTTTATCAAAGGAAGTTTGCCATTGCCATCCTCTGAGGCTGAGAGAATGTGACTTGCCCAAGGTCATCTAGTAGATTTCCATGGCTGAATGGGTATTTGAACCCTGACCTCCTGGGTCATAGTCCAGCATTCAAACCACTACACCATGCTGACTCTTATACACTTATACAATTACTGCTTATTCAGATCAAACACTAAAAGTAAATGAGAAATATGCTGCACCACGACTCAGATCTTCCCAGAGTGGAATGTCTCAGCATGGCATAACGATTGTATCAGTGACTCCACATCGCCACCATGATTTGCCAATAATTCCCTACACATTATGCATTTAGGCTCATTCATTAAACAAGCCCAGTTTGTTCAAAGGATTGTAACACAGAGGAGTAAAGCACTCAAAAGAGTTCCTTCCCCCCCGCCCCAACTTCAACTCCCAGAATCTAGTGGCCGTGCCAGCTGGGAGATTTCTGGAACTATAGCCAAAAAAAGGAGGCATTTTTCCGAGCTCTGCCCAAACTTTTCAGTCACTCCATATACTGCATGCCTGACAAACAAACAAACCGCTAACCCAAAGCAGTTAAGAATCCAATTGCATGAACAGGATCAAGAATAACTTGAAAGTACATTTGATCCCCATACAGTCAGAATCTGGCTGTTTTACTTTACCTCCCCATAACTAGCATGCTCTCCCTCCCTCTCATTCACATGCTCTCAAAGACTGGATTTTCTAGTGCTTCCTGCTACCCTGAGGCTGCTGATATATCAACAGAGAAAGAGCTTCATAGAAAGCAAGCTGGCACTGTTTGAAGTATTCTGGAGCATTAAAACGTGTAATTAGGAGGCAACGATATTGAGTCTTTATGGAATTCATCACAGGTACTCATGCAGATAGCATTGTCTTTATTTTAATCCCCACAGGAGCTCAGCGTGAGTGTCACATTGTCACATCCCAATGTTTTGAGCAAAACAATGTTGAATCTGTCGTGTTCCATTGCAGATCTGTCCTGATACTAGTGCAAAACTTTCAGAATGCACCAGGTTCACTACAAAAGGTCTTTTTGCCTCAATGAATCCACAGATGAACTGGGAGATGGGGATGTCTTGCTGCTTTGATTGAAAGGGAGGGATTTTAGCAAGACAGATGCAGCTAGACCTGGCATGCAAAAATCGAAGGCCACAAATTACTCCCACAGGCACACATCTGAATAAAGAAATGTAATGTCAAGCAGTACATACTGTGTTGTTTCCCTTACAAACAGAATGATGTGAGAATCGGAAGAGGTAACAGGAATGGATATGTGCTCCTCCACATAGTGCATAGTTAAACTGTGTGCATAGTCCATAATTAAACTATGGAATTTACTACCACCAGATCAGTGGTGTTAATTTTAGACCATAGATTTCTGGAGCAACATGTATACGTCATGTATATTGTGAAGCACACAGCTTGCTAGAAAGGTGTAACTACACTTGCACAAGCAATTACGTTCCTGAAGAGGGTAGTAGAGATTGTTAGGGCTGGTTGCAATGTTCCCTATGACTAGGGCCCTGTCTGCACAGGCCAAATAAAATGATCTACACACACACGCTATCCCACAATGACTGTCCTGATAACATGGGTTCTGGTGCTAACTGTTCAAATGATGTCCAACCAGTTGAGCAATGAATCTGTCATATGCCCACTGTAAAATGGTGTTTAAAAACCTTCACCATTTGTTCCAGATCTTCCCAGAAGATCTGGAACCTTCCATTGTGACACTGGGTAGCTTTTTACAATGTGTCCTGCTGTGCCACCTGGCACAGGTTGTTCATTCTGAGGTCAGAACAAGCTGGCCAGCCATGTGATCAATGCTGAGCACCTCATTCTGATGTCAGAGCAAGTGACTAGTGCCATTGGTGGTGGCACCATGCAAAACAGTGGGAAGACATGCAAACAGCTGCCTGGCATTGCACAGACTGCCCAAGGAAATGTAAGGACAGCTTCAGAGCCGGAATACTCCAGGCTGCTCATGAAATATTTTGGCCTGTGCAGACCCTGCCTATATCTTTTAGAGCAGGAACCGGCAACCTACGGACCCCTGCCGCTGCTGCCATGCGTTCTAGTCACTGCACAGCCGCGCGCGCCGCAACCGCTATTTTGTTTTCCAAAATGGCAGCTGTGACGCGTTCGCGCATGCACAGGAGTACTGCGCATGTGCAGATGTGTCACACCCGCCATTTTGGAAAACAAGATCGCGGCCGCGACATGCATGGAGGTGGCGGTGGCAGCACGTGCGGGGGGGGTCGCGCACGCATGAGCGCACGCATCGCCATTCCCCCCTCCGGGCCCGCCGGAAGGTAGGACTTTGGGGGATCGGCCCCCGGCTCAAAAAGGTTGCCTACCCCTGTTTTAGAGGATGCAAACTACAGGAAAAGAGATTCCACCTTAATATTAGGAGGAACTTCCTGACAGTAAGAGCTGTTCAACAGTGGAACACACTCCCTCAGAATGTGGTGGAGTCTCCTTCTTTGGAGGCCTTTAAACAGAGGCTGGATGGCCATCTGTCAGGGATGCTTTGATTTGGAGTTCCTGCATGGCAGGGGGTTGTACTGGATGACCCTTGTGGTCTCTTCCAACTCTATGATTCTATGATTTTATGATTTCAATGTCTCCTGTTTTTTCTTCTTCCTGAAATCATTGCTGTGGGGTCAAACTAAATTATACATTTAGCATGCTTAACTTCTTTCCAAAGATTTGTTATGTCATAGCAGATGATTTTCCTCATGAGTATATCTTGCATTTATTATTCTTTGCTTTGTCATTGATCACTGGAAGTAAACACAGATTTAATTTACAAGCCTGATTTTTGGGGGCATGCATCTCTTTTTTTTAAATTTTTATTGAGTTTTTCATTTTAAAACATGACATTACACATACATACAATACAACATACTTTCCATCAAGCTCACGTATAGAATCAAAATAACACTAAAAAAAAAAAACAGTACTTCCTCAAGTCTACAACTTAACCCTATTTACCTTTGTCTCTAGTAATAAATCTTTGTCTCTGTTAATAAATCTTGGTATCTTAATTGTATGGTTATTTCCAATAAACATTTTTCATTTAATAATTACCCTATGTAACCCTTTGTTCCCTTTATGTATACCGCCATACTTGTGCTGTTACTCTACCTCGTGAATGTATACATTATTTTCTTTTGTCTCTATTTATTAAATTTTAAGACAAAAGGTGAATTTGCCTCATTTGCTTCTTTGTTATCTTATATCTATTTTATTTGTGTACTATCCAAGATATTATAACTACGGAGAAGAAGAAATCTGATTATGTCTATAATTTATATTGAATCCAGTTAATTACGTCTTCCCACTCATTTTCGTGATTCTTTTTTTGGAAGGTTCCTTTGCCTACTTGTAAGTTTGTCAATTTCTATAAAGTCTAATGCTTTCAAATACCACTCTCTGATCTCAGGTATTCGCTTCTGTTTCCAATATGTAGCCTATGATATTCTAGCTGCTGTTATAAGGTAGAATAATTTTTCCCAATTTTTTTTTCAAGGTCTGCATCTGTGAGGCCTAACAAAAATAGTTTGGGATCTTTTTCTATTTGAATTTGTAAGATATCTTGTATGTTTTCATATATTTTCCCCAAAAACTTTTTAGCAAAAGGCCACAGCCACCACATATGGAAAAGAGTACCTCTGTGTTTCTGACATTTCCAGCGTTTATCGTTAAATTATTTTTTCATTTTCGATAGCTGGTGTAATATACCATCTATAGAAGAGCTTGTAATAATTTTCTCTGAGTGTATAGCTCAACGTATGTTTTAATTTGTTTTCCCAGACCTTTTCCCATTCTTCTAAGTAAATCGTTCTTCCTAACTCCTGGGCCCAGAGAACCATGCATTCTTTTATTTGCTTTTCCTCTGTATTCCACTGCAGTAGCATCTTGTATAATTTTGCTATAACTTTTTTGGTTTCCATTAGCAATATTTTTTTCAATTGGATTATCCATTGATGTTATTTCTTGATTTTTTCGGTTGACTAAGAATCTTTGTTTCAACTGGAGGTATAAAAACCAATTTTCTTTTATTCCATCCTCTCTGAGTTCTTCTCTGGATTTCAATCTCCAGATATTGTTTTCCTTAATTAATAAATCTTCATAGGTAGCCCAAACATTATCATCTCGTCATACCTATGAAATGCTTCATTAGGTGAGACGTAAAGTGGAATTCCCTTGTTAATTCTCACTTTATATTTTTCCCAGATTTTACTTAAAGAATTTCTCATGTAATGATTGCTAAATTCCTTGTTCATTTTATTTTGTCATAATACATGTAAGCATGGAAACCATAGATGTTATTGAAACCTTCCAAATAAAGTAGTCATCTGTCAGAGAGTCTTAACCACTCTTTTAACTAATCGAAAACACAAGCATGGTAATATAATTGCAGATTTGGGAGTCCTAATCCCCCCCTTTCCAGCACATTTTGTAATATTTTTACCTTAATTCTTGCTTTTCTTCCTGACCATATAAAATTGGTCAAGTCCTTCTGCCATTGTTTAAATGCTAAGGAGTTTGTAATTATTGGTATTGCTTGAAATAGAAATAACAGCATAGGCAATACATACATTTTGATTATAGATATTCTACCCATTAAGGAAATATGTAATTTATTCCAGATTTTTAATTTCTCACCAATTTTTTTTCCATGTTGACTCATAATTGTTTCTGAATAATTCCGAATTCTTATTTGAAAAGGTGACGCCCAAATATTTTACAGTTTTTTCTATTTTAAAATTTGTTTTTTTTTTATTAAACAATTCTTTCTCTTTATTTGTCATGTTCATTGTAAGAACTTTTGTTTTTTCTTTATTCACCTTAAATCCGGAGTATTCACTATAATCTGTTAATTTTCCTAATAGGTTTTGAATAGTATTCAATGGGTCTGTTAAATATACCACCATATTGTCCGCATATGCTCTAAGCTTAATCTCATAGCCTTTGATTTTAACTCCTGTGATAGATTCTTCTTCTCTTATTGAGTTACAAAGTATCTCCAATGTCATTATAAACAGCAGGGGAGAGAGAGGACAACCTTGACGGGTACCTTTTTGTATGTTAAATAATAGTGTTCTCTCATCATTTACAATTA